ACAGATCCAGGGTCTGAAATCTAAACTCAGTCGTTGGAAAAAAAAAAAAAAAAAGTATGTTGTGTGTGTGGCAGCTGATGACTCTGTGCCTCTGTCTGTAATCTGCTCCTCAGACTCCGTATTCCCAGGAACAGTCCGCTGAGAAGAGTGCCGCCCACCCCACAGAGCATCAGCCCTCTTCTCAGACCCCTCTCATCTCTGTGGAGGCAACGGTCGGGTCAACCTTCAGCGCTCCAGCTATGACTGAGCCTCAGGTCAGAAGCTCTGGTACTCACAACTTGCCATTCAGACCTGTGACGCAACTGATGCAGCACCACGTCCGACCGAGAATGAAGAACAGCTCAGAGGAAGGAAAATGGGAAAATAGGAATGTGGCGGTCACACCACTCAAAGACCTTTTTAAGACTTTAGACACCACTGTTTTCAACCTCGGGCATTAATATTGGAGTTACTTTTGTTTTATCTCTCTAACAATCTTGAAAATCTAAATCTTTTATTCTTTTGGCACCAATGTTGAAACAGTGACAATGAATGTGGTTATTCTCTGAATCAAAGTCCAAGATTGTGATCTCTATAACCATGTGTTTGAATTTTATTTGGTTGTTTTAGTGTGAAAATCAAACTTGTTCACTCGGTCATACATATGTTTGCCAAAAGTTTTGATTGAATCATATCAGTGTATCCAAACAATATTGCTGCTACGTTCGTATGTATTGCCAGTTTATTAGGTACATTTAGTTTTTGAAATACAAACGCCCTAATAATCTGGTAAGTGAGTATGTAATGCATTTGTTTACATTTTCTCTTTCTCTATGGTCAATCATGGAAACTCTGTTTATAAGGGGTGCACATATTTAAATGTGTGTATCCCTTATGTGCTAAATTTCAAACTCACAAGCTTGTATTGCATAATTTCTTCGAAACTATACGACTGAATTTTTTTATTCTACACTGGTATGCCATTTAAAAACTTTGTGAAAAATCTTATTTTTGTTCAGTGTAGATAAAATATTTGAATATAAGATACTAAAGACTTTATTAGTTCAATTATAGTTGAATAATCTGAGGTTAAAAAGTTACAGAAATATATCAGACAGGATACATGCATAAAATGAAAGTTTTATTTTTCTTGTTGGGTATGTAAATTACATCTTGAACAATGATTATCATTCATCATTACACCACAAACTTTGTATGCTGTGCATATATGTAAGATATGTGTATGAAACATGCTTATTAAAATGATTTCTTAACAGGAATATGATGTCATAAGTCAATTTGTGAGATTGTGGAGAGAAAGGATGGGTTAATGAGGTCATGAGGTCAGCGTTCATGTAATGTATAGTTTTAAAGATTGTTTGTGCGCCTCCTGCAGGAGATAGGCTGCACTTACTGCATTATATATTTCCACAAGTATTTAGGTGTCATTTTTATGAGAGGTGGTTTCCGTTAAATTTCAAATTCAAATTGTGAGGTGAATAATTTTGTTTTTCCTTTCTTGAGCTACTGGAAAGTTGTCAGCTTAGATGTTGCTGCGATACTCAATAATGCTGGTGTGCAATTATCTTATGCCTCCAAGACATAGTGTTGAACCACACTCGATTAAGTGTCAAGCAGTTTTAACTCCATTATGTTATGTAATCAAAGGAGAAATAAGATAAATATTACATTGTTGGTGAAAACTGAAGGGTTTTTGCTTGTGAACCTTTTAGCCCAGGATTCAAACTGGTTATACCTGAAATAAATTCTCCTCACAAAGATTTCTCAGCATGGAAAGTACAAACTTAGTATTACATTATATGATTTCATGCTTTTAAAGAATAGTAAGTGTTGCAGTGTGCGCACACTTGTTGGGAAAAGCTATTTCTGGACAGATCAATCTTATTTAAATTGTTGCTTGCTAGTCGGCAGTAGTTTGGTGTCTTTAAAAAAAATTGTACAACTCAACACAACATACAGTGACACATGTTAAACATCTGGTCTCACTTTTTATTTTTACTTTAATAGCATAACAATTTAACAATATTAAGGCACGACACTGCACAAAGAATGATATAGAACCTGTGCTGAAGATCACAGACAGTTAAGGCTGTCTTATGGTAATGTTACAGTATTTTACAGCGTAAATAAACATGAGAAGAGACCGCACCTCGGCCAGGCTGCTCACCCTCATCACCCTCATCAAATCTACAAACAGGGAGCATGTGACCAGGCCTCGTGCGGCTCTACCGGGAATTCAAACTTGCACATGGTATTACATGTAATAACGACGCTGTAAAAACTTTGAATAATTTGACAAAAAAATGATTTCGGTTTCTTTTGCACAATTGTCATCATGCGACCTACAGCAGGTATGGGACATCAGTAATATGATAACAGGGCTGTCATATATGGAGGGGTGTCTGTCAGCAGTCTCATATCTGATGCTTCTGGTGTTCGATCAGTTTCCTGTCCAGCGTCACAGAGTTCCTCACGGTTGCTGCGAAGTTGGTTAACTTCTCTGTGGGGGATCTTGTCTGTAGGATGTTACTAAAGTCCCATATGTAGATGTCTCAGTGATGACTGAGCAAAGGTTTTTGTATAAAAAGATATAAGATAAGTTAATCAGAGAGCGAGAGTCGAAGCTGATGGTTATGTGTTGAGGATGTGCTTGGCCTGTCTGTGCCCTCTCCAGGTCATAGTGGCGAGGAGGTCGTGTGGCATGGACATGTCAACATCCTCTTGCATCATATTCTCCATTTGTATTTACAAAATGTATTCTGTACACAGGACATCTACTGCATGTCAGTCTGTCCTGGAGGAGGGGTCCCTCCCCAGTTCCACTTCTTCAGGTTTCCTTCATTTGTTCTTTTTTTATTTATCAGGTTTGAGTCTCTAAGGACAGAAGGTGGGATTTGTTGCACATCTCTAAATAACTTTTAGGCAAATTCGTAATATATGGACTGTATGGATAAATATTTGACTTTACTTGGATCATTTGCTTTGGCCACATTCAGCAGAGCCAGGTGACCACCTCCCTTTGTGTCTAATCTATATGCAAAGCCAATCTCACCATCTTGTGACTCCAGCTTCATATTTGGAGTGGTATCTTCTTATCCTACTCTCAGCAAGGAAGCAAATAAGCCTATTTCCAAAAATGAAAAGCTGGATGTTGAGTGATTTTGTTCCGTAATTATGATGCACATGCTGCATCCTTTTAGAATGTAAATGTGATTTGTTTACTCTGATCCTTCCTCTTTCTCAGCTGCCTCGATGCTGTCTTTGCCCTTATCATCAACCAGAATCATTTTTTCCTCTGATGGTTGTTCAGATTTGCCCTCAGTCTTTGATTGGCTGTCTCCTTCGGGGAGAAGGTCATACTCTTTGTGACTGTCAGCCTGAAGAGCAGCATCCTTCACCTCTTCTTCACAATACGTCTTCCTCTTGAAGCAACCAAGCTTGTGTTGGAAGCAAGGGAAAAAAATCATTAGATCACATCATTTCAATCTGAATTCAGTAACTCACATTCAAGCATCAGCTCTGAATATGAAGGTTTAAGGCTGTGACTTGTATTTCAGGAGTTGGGGACCACTTGGAATAAGAAATGACCTCTCACCTTACACATGATGATTGTGGTTATGATGAGTAACAACAATCCCAATCCAACTCCAGTTGAAATGATCAGCTCTTTATTGGGGGGAATTATGAACTCAACCCGAACCTCAATCTGTAGGCAGAAATGTTTTTAAAGTGATTCCTGAGCCTAAAGTCTGTGAATCTGTGTAAAAAGACTGAATTTACCAATTTCTTGATTGGATCGTTGTCTTTCCAGGAACCATCATGAGACCGCTTCTTTATGAATCCATTTTTCCTCTGTTGGTAATAAATATGATAAATTAGGCATCATGGAAAAGATTTAAATCAGCATCTTTAACAGGACATGACTGTGGTCAAACATCAGCATACCTCTTGTTTACGAGAATCCAGCACGTATTGTTGCCCGTCATATTCAACCCCTATGATGCTTCGGAATTTCACCTCCCCGCTGTCTCCAGTATATCGTTTCAGAAAGTCAATATTCTGCAATGTAAGAATACATTAATCAAATATATATATTCACCACTTTCAATGATTTACTGTAAGTGGAGTGTATTCTGTCAGTGTGTGTTGTTGCTACATACTTTGGATCGTTCTTTGAGATCCTTAAAATGTACTTCTCCAGACAATGTGAACTCAGTGGTTGACTCCTTGTCCAGGATGAATGTGTCACATGCAATGATTGTGCAGTCACCTAGCGGGCAGTTCTGTAACACAGCAGTGGTTCATTTCAGATTTGTAGATTCTTGTTTGTTGAGAATATTTTGACACTGAATATGTTTCACTTACATTTGGTTTGAGGTCAGTGATGCTGCAGTGAGTTTTGTTCTTAAAAGAGAGAAAGTTATCGGGGGTATTAAGAGTTTGACATTTCATAGGCAGCAGCATTATCAGTAAGAAGTGTTGTGGTAGTTAACAAATTACCTGCTGGACAGACACTCGATGATCCTTCATTTCAAAGTCATGTGCCAGTTTCGTTGGGAAGGACAGAGACACGTTGACAGGAAAAGCCTTAAATCCTGGATTAGCAATCTGGATGGTGAGAGACAGTTGGTCCATTTAAAAATAGCAGTCCAACATTTTGGGAAATGTGTATATTCACTTTCCTGTCAAGTCAGATGAGAAGATTGATGATACTTGTATATAAATAGTACATTTACCTTATGTTGTAGACTGTAACGGCTGTCAGAAAAGTTTTATTTGTCAAGCTGCTCATTGATTTGAAGATAAATCTACTTCTCATCTCAAAAACTTAGACCGTTGGTTGTTGGGTTTGCACATTCACAGCACATACATGTGTCTGTCTGGCTGATCATTGGCTGATTTGAATATGTTACTACTCTAGAGGTTTTTTTAAACAGTAAGTCAATTGTTGTATGTTAGATGTGTGGTATTGTTACCAGAAAAAAAGTAGGGGGGGGGGGGTCTTAACAGCTGCATGATGAATGTTTGTTGAGAAAATTGAAAGACACATTTCTTTGATAGTTTTTACCCTGTATGTAATCTCCATTTTTTGAGGTGCAGGCTCTTCTGGTGTGAAGTTCAGATATGTGATGCCTTCTTTCCTGAAAAGAGAACACAAAACAATTACAGTGTGCTGTAAAAATACATTTATCAAATTAATCGAATAAGCTCCCATTACAAAATGGGATTTATTTAGACAGCCATACTTACACTGTTATTGCCATTTTAATGTCAAACTGTACTGGGATGCTTCTGGTCAAGTTATTGTTCCTGGTGATGTTTGTGTTGTCACTGAGGAAGCAACAAAGCAATTCGTGAGAATACTGGTATTTAAGAATTCAGGCTAACTAATCCATAAAGTCTCTAAAAGTGGAATAGGAGCCAGAGCTTTCAGCTATCAAGCTCCTCTGCTGTGGAATCACCTCTGTGATTCAGTTAGGGAGGCAGACACCTTCTCTATATTTAAGAGTCGGCTTAGATATATAAAATACACCTACTCACGTACACCACCATTACTGGCAAAACCTCTATCATTACAATTGTCATTGGGGCTCCCTTCTTCTCTGTTAAACATTTTCTCTCGTATAAATACTTTAAGCTTCGACACACCTCTCCATTTATGTTTGACACTATCTTTTCTCAGGAATATTGTTAATGTTGTTATTTGGATGTGCTCTGTTACATGTGGCATCTATTGCACTTCTGTCCGTCCTATAAAGAATCCCTCATATACAGCTTTCTCCAGGGTCTCTAAATGATTTCCTCTGGTAATAGTTTTTTTTATTGAGGGTTCTACATGATGTGTAGAATTTAGTAACATCTGGTGTTGAAGTTGCATGTTGCAGCTGAACACCCCTCACCTCACCCTCTCCTTCCAAACATGAAAAAGAAACTGTGGTAGCCTTCAGTTGTCATAAAAACTCAAAAGGTGTTTAGTTTTTTCAGTCTGGACTAATGTAAAAAACATCTTTCACCTAGATGTCACACACTGAACCTTTAAGGACGGAGGATGTCACACCTTGTTGAGCTCTATGAGGCACATTGTGATTTGTGAATATGGGCTTTACAAATAAATCAAATCAAATGAATAAAACGTGGAGTGTGTTGGATTACATTACAAGGCCTCTACCTTCTTCCGGTAACAGTCATCGAGATTGTGTCATTCCACTCGTACTCGGTCATGATGTAGAAAGAAGTTATAAACTTTGCCTTCACAGAAAAAAGAAAGAGGTCAACAACATTTTCAAAGGCCAAAGTCGTTTCATAATCTATACTATTTCACTTCCTGTCTGCTGTGAAGTGGGTGCAGTTTCACTCACAGAAGATCTGCTACGATACACAGGAAGGCTGACACCGCACACAGTTCTGTCATACACTCCTTCAAGGTCATGACAGCTGTACAGCGTTGGTCTCGATGCCTGTGTTAAAAAAACATGCAAAAAGCTGGATGAGCTTTACATATAAATACAATGCTGTGATACTTGCACGACCCTTGACTGTAAATTAGAAGTCTAGTTGATTTAAGTTTGAACTTTCATTTATGTTTAAACAAAGACTGGGTTCAAACAGCCTTTGCTGGTAGTGCTGGGTGCTGTGGGTGAAACTTGTTCTCCCTGACAACCCACACATCCTGTGAGGGTTTCAAACTCCAGACAACCTCTGTTTTGTTTGTGCTCTGTGACAGTGCAACAGACCTGTTTGTTGTATTTCTGCATTTAGCAGTGGAGGTTTTGACAAATTCAAATTGATTTAAAGTTATTTTT